AGAGAGAGAGAGAGAGAGAGAGAGAATGTACAGAGAGAGATGCAGACTGAAACATGGATGGTATCCACTCTATAGACCTGCATACCAGCCTGGGGCTTTTGATTCAAGAGAAATACATTGTCACTATAACTGTCCTTTGGTACGACGGAAAAGAAAGACTGATATTTTGTTTTAGTAAGAGTTTTACGGCACTTGTAACACATTTACGTCACGTAAGTGTTGAAGATTAGAGGTATTACAAGGCGTATTAGAGACATTACACAAACACAAAAAGGAGGGAGGAGAGATAACGACGATAGATGTTTGGTAAGAAAGAAGGAGCAAACCACATTATAGCACCTGCCAACCACCCACGTAAGACTGAGGTGTTCGCATTCAAGAGAGAATTGAAAAGTGGAGAAGTAAAGAATGTCCTTTAGTGGCATCCTCCAACCTCACACTTAGCCTTAAACAAACAAGAGCAAGAAGAGAAAATAATAACGAGACAGGAAAGTGTATAGTATATGTACAAAAAAAACACAATTTTTTCACACATCTGTTACAAACCCTTCCTATCTTTCTCTGTCAAAAGTGCCCAACTGTAAACAGCAAACACATGCAAAGGGTGACGACAACAATAATTTGCAAAAGCGTAATGACATAAAGAGACGAGTGCTTTTGCCTGAAAAAAGCAACCATAAAATGTTCATCTTCTTCTCTCTTTCATGGAAAAGCTAGACTAGATATAACCTTGCTTTTATGATAATAACATACCGTTACAAAAGGGTCAATACAGCTATACCGAGAAAACAACCGGTCACCGACCCCGGGAAATATTGGGAGGGAGGAAAGGGGGGAGGGGGGGTTGGGAGACATGGGGCTATTTCTTTCAACATCAAAAGCGTAAACAATGCTTGATCAAAGCAGCTAGGTACACCACCTGAAGATTATCAGCTAGAGCTGTAGGCTGCTTCAGAAAGAGGCGTAGGCTAGAGAAAGAAATATTACGGCAACAGTCGCGCTGAGCAAGGATTAATTACCGAGTTTAAGCTACTGCACCCCCCCCCCCCC